TCATTGGGTGGGAGGAAGCATTTTCCCCTTCTTTTCTAAAGCCTGAATTCAGAAAATTCAGAATGTAACATATACTGGGACTGAGTCTTCCAGAGGCAAACTTCAGCACTTTATTTGTATATACAGTGCAGGGTATACCAGAAGTCAGGGCTCGTAGGCCAATCACTTTAGGTTTTATTAATTTTTTTTTTCAGAGTAAACATTACTGTAGTTAAGAATGTTCAGAAGCTATGCATCAAATGCGTAAGGAAGTGTTTAGAAGAAAATGGCAACCAATTTGAATATTTAGTGTAATTTATATTATAAATTGTCTGTGGGACTGAAGTTTGTGTGTGGGGCCTGACTTAAGATACACTTTATATATATGGGAGAAAAGGATGAGGGTTTTGTTTGTTTGGGGTTTTTTTGTTTTTTAAGAAAAAGAAAAAGTCTTGACTTCCTTTCTTAGCCTCTAAAATCTTCCCATTTAGCACTGGGAGGGAAGGCTTTTTGTGTATCTTCACAATTGATCTTGGAGGAAATAAATTGAATCATCTACATCAAAATATTGCAGTATGGAGTGCATGTGTTCAGTATTCTGACTCACGTCCACTTTCAGAATTAGCTTTCCGCTATCTTTCTTCCCCGTTAAAATCTAGTGTTCTTTGACAACTCCATATTCTGTGACTCAGTGCTTACTCAGCTGAACTGAGCTGAGGTGAAGAGGAGGAAGATGTTGGGGAGGGGAGTACCCTGTAAATATTTTCCCTTTTCTCTGGAGATTGGGGTATTACTTATCTGTTGATTTGATTGATTGATTTATAACCCTTGAGTGGGAAGGGAAAGGAAACTTGGGAATCCATCAGATACTGCCCTGCAACTGTCCTGTATTAAATCTGTAAGGACAGTACCCACCCTGCTTTCGTTGCTGAGGTGTACTGAAGCTCAGCCGTGAGGCTGCACAAATTATGTGACATACTTTTCTGCCAAGTCAAGGACATGTGAATGAGGCTGTGAGGAAATGCCCATAATTCATGAAGCAGGCAATGGATGTTATGGTACCAGTTTCATCAGAGCACCAACTTACTGAAAGTAAAACATTTCTTTAAAAAAAAAAAGTGTTTGAAAACACTGGCAGTGATTTCTATGAAGTGTCATCCTATTCTCCTGGAAAAATTATACATACATACATGTGTGTTTGTAACAGACTGTTTTTCCTAATTTTTCTGAATCTTGCTCAAAACCAAGGTGTCGAGCCAGATTTGACTTTTTCAGGAGCAGTCTGTTCTGGATTGAGATATTTCTGTAAATTCAGATATAACTCTGGATTGAGAGGGCTTTGCAATAACCTGTATATAAAACTGACTTCCAGAAAAAAAAAATACTGAGTTTTACCAACTTTTGCAGAAGTGGGGTAGGCTTTGAAAATATCTTTAAGAAGAGTATGCATCATGGAGGTTTTTGTTTTTGTTTTTGTTTTTTAACTTTCACAGTTTAGGCTAGAGGAAGCAGAATTCTCTGGTTTTATCATCTGCTTTTGGAAACCTTCAACATAAATTACTTTCATAGTTACCATAATTTGGCCTTCTGTATTTCAGTTGAGGCTGAAGCAGCTTGTATTCATTTATCATTCGTATAATATATACACATCCAAAATGTTCTTTTTTTTCTCCTGTTCTGAAGAGGGGGTTTGTTTGTACATGAGATTTTCTGAGTCATATCTTTATAAGTTCCAGGGGAAAGAAAGCCTCTTGTGTCTAATATTATGAGAAGATTGATGTAGGCAGATTTTGTCACAGGGTTATTTGTTTGACTTCAGAATCAAAAAAAGGGGAGATACTACCAGCAAGTAATATTTGCAAGGCTGAAAGGAGATAGAAGAATCACATTTAATGGGGATGGGATTGAGAGGGTGACTACTTTCAGTTCCTAATGGTGTCAGCAGAAAGCATTTTAAGTTTCAAAGAATCTCTGGTCTCACTATATAAACTCTTTGAACTGGTGGCATCTTCTGAAGATTGTGAAATAAAAGTAGAAACTGTTGGCAAAATCCACCTGGCTCAAATGTAGTGATGTGTGTCCTTAGCATGAAGACAGAAGATAAGGAGTAAGGAAGTATGTGTGAAGTAAAGAGACAAAGTACATGCTATTAGAAGTTTCTCAATTTGTCATTGTGCCATTGTGATCCTTCTAGCGCTACTGAATATAGACTTGTAGGAGTAGCATCATGGAAAAAGGAAAAAAAAGCAAATAATCTGTCGCTACGAAGCTGCAGCAACCTTTCCTCCCCCTGCCACCTGCCCACCAGAGGGCTATCAGTGCAGTCTGTGATATCAGAATTGTGGAGGAACTAGATATCTCAGTAAAAATTAGGTGTATTGCCTAAAATACGTGCAGAGAAACTAGATTTGATTGTTTTTCCACTTCAGATGAATATACAGTATGTTATAGGCAATAGGAACCCTGGTTCAGATAGAAGACAACCAAGGTAAGAGGGAGGTGAAAATTATAGTGAGTTAAAAAATAAGTCACAGTGTGAAGAAAGTGCCTGGAGGGAAATAATTCTCTCACTTTATCATGCAAGATACGAAGATTACTAATACTGGTGAAGGGCAAGCCCATTAAGGAACATAAACCAGAACAAATTGAGGCTTTGAGTACCAGCTCCTGGGAAAAAACAACAGGGGCAAGTTAATGCCCTCTTGCCTTGTTTGTTGACTTCACAGAAGCATCTGTCTTATCACGGCTGGACAGAATGCTGGATTAGATAGTTTCTTGAACTGATACAGTAAAGACATTCTTATAGAGAGCAAAGCAAAACAAGGACTTTGGCAACCCACTGTGGGGGTGGCTAGCACCTTGAAGATGCTCCTGTATGTTAATATCCTTTCCACCAGCAGCACCTTGGAAGATATTATTATTTATGTATGA